GGCATCGTCTTTGTGTATTTGCACTTTGGAATTGGCCAGGATCGTAACAGTATTATTACAACACATGATTGCTACATTATTGATGCATCTGGTCTGCAAGTTGCTCGGTATCCACATATATAATGGCCATGCTGGTAGTCGAAAAGGTATGCGACATTTAGGGATAGTTATGCTACATTTGGAGGTTCCCCGCTATCCTAGCCTCCGACAGGGGGCTGTTTCGGGACTTTGGTATTTCCCGTTTTAGGAAAATTGTGATATTCTATATAGCCCTTTTCTTTATCACTACACCTATTAACCATGGCCACCATGCGGACATCCGGACGGGCATCCAGACGGTGTGGGGTCCGGTGTCCGGACGCCGGACGGTAGGAGGCCCGTCCGGAGGGTCCGAAACCCCAAAATTCAAAAAAAATAGGGGGCGCCCTGGACCCGTTCCTTGTGTCCAGGGCGCCCCCCAAAAAATGTCAGGTGGAATTTTGGGGCCTGTGCCGGTCGTTTAGGGCGCCCGGACCGGCCCCATKTTTTGCTTTTTTGTACTTAGTGCTACTCGCCCTCACGRCACACTTYGTAGACCGTTGACGGCTTGGGGCAGTCCGGGAATCGCCGCCCGCAGCACCGCCCGCCCGCCATTTGAAGGCGCTCCGGAGAGGTAGGCCGCCATTCAATTGGAACGCACCTGGAAGCAACTCGGAGTGCATGCCTCAGAGAGAGAGAGAGAGAGAGAGAGAGAGAGAGAGAGAGAAGCTGTTATTGAGCTCCTCCATCATCGGCCGCGATCATTATCGAGCTTATCTGCCAGGCCATCTCTCTCTCTCTCTCTCTCTCTCTCTCTCTCTCTCTCTTCGTTTTGCGCTTGCCGTTCTTTTACGGGATTCGGCTGTTCCTGCTCTACGAACGAAGGTGGAGGGAGCTGGGAAATCGGGGGAAGAAAGGGGACTGAGGTTCAAACGAAGGGGGAGCTCTCTCTCTCTCTCTCTCTCTCTCTCTCTCTCTCTCTTTTCGTTTTGTGCTTGCCTTTCGTTTACGTGATTTGGGTGTACCTGCGCTAGTTTGGTAATGAGACTGAATCCTATGCTATACATTGGAAAGCTTACGTTCATGCAACGAGGAGGAGCGGGGTTTGGGGCGAAGGGGGATGTTCGGATGATATCTCGGAGGTTGGGAAGTATGGGGAAGAAGAGGGAGGGAGGTTCGGACGAAGGGGGAGGAGCGTTTCTAATGAAAGGGGATGTAAGTAGGGGGAAGAATGGGGAGGGAGGTTTGGAACGAAGGGGGAGGGAGGTTTTAAAGGAAAGGGGGAGGGAGGTTCGGAATAGGGGAGGTTATCCTATTGTAATACCTCCCCTATTCCGAGCCGCCCTCCCCCTTCGTTCCAAACCTCCCTCCCCCTTCGTTCTAAACCTCCCTCCGCCTTCATCCTACTACCCTTCCCCCCTCATGGTTCGTTTTGAATGTTCTTCATTGCTTTTCATGACATTATGATCCTATGAGCAGAGAGAATCGCGGTTCTTCTTGTTCTTTCACGATCTTTTGGTTGGTTTTCATTTTGAACTTGGGATCCAATCGGAATCCCTCCCCTATTCCAAACCTCCCTTGCCCTTCATACGAAACCTCCCTCCCCCTTTGTTCTAAAGCTCCCTCCCCCTTCTTTTGCAATTCCTTCCCCTGCAGTGTTTTTTTTTTATGAATCTTCTTCATTGCTTTTCATTACATGACTATTCTATGAGGAGACAGAGTTGGGGTTCTTTTTATTCATTCACGATGTTTTATTCGCATACTTTCCTTCGTTTGCGAACTTACCTTTTGCTTCCAAAGTTCGGAAGAAGGGGGAGGGAGGTTCGGAAGAAATGTGAGGAAGGTTCGGAAGTAGGGGGAGGGAGGTTCGAAAAGAGGGGGAGGGAGGTTTGTAAGAAGGGGGAGGGAGGTTCGGACTAAGGGGGAGAGGAAGCACTCAAATGAAGGGGGAGGGATGTGTTTGCAACATGCAACCCCCTTACCTTTTTTTTTTTTTTTTTTTTTTCCCCAGTCCGGACCGATACGGACAGGACCATCCAGACCATCCGGACCAATCCGGACATGGTCCAGATGGTCTGGAAATGCGGACGTCCGGACCGATACCGGACCGACCGGGGGTCTGGGTCCGGGGTCGTCCGTTGTCCGAGTTCGCGGTAGCCATGCTATTAACCTATCTTGGTAGTGTTTTTGTTGGAGGGGGAGGGGGAGGGGGGGGAATGTCCATTAGGATAACCAGTTTTTATTTTTTGTTTAAAAGGATAATCAGTTTTATTAAGTTTTTTTTTTTTTTTTTTTGTGCTCTTTTTTTTATTTGTCCATGTACGTGGCGTGTCGATGAAGTTTTTCATCCATGTACTGTGTTTCTTTTTTTTTCCAATATGATTGAAGAAAAACTAAGAAACACATTACTCCATTACCCCATCAATCAACGGGCCACATATATGGACAAAGAAAAGAAAGGAACACAATTAAAAACTTAAAAAACTGTATTAAAAACTGGTTATCATAATGGACATATATCATTCACCCCCCAAAGCTACCAACATATTTCATAACTTGAACCACCAGTACTCGGCCCATACATCGGCCGCGGGGCATTGTCGTTTAACGCCCTGCAACTTCCGGAGGCTCGGGGTACCGGCCCTCAAAGGCTGGCGCCGCCAGCCAAAACTATTTTTTCTTGTTGTGCTGGCGGGCCGGCGTGAAACGGCGCGCAGCCCGTTTTCAGGCACGGCATCGATAGCTGGGCCAAATACTGGTGATTTATTAGCTACAGAAGAACGTTGAAGTAGGAAGGGGTGGGTGCTGTGAGCATACACACATGGGTGTGTAGAGTGGGTTTTATGACTGTGTCAGATTAGTTTCTCAGACTTACTGTCATTCTTGTCAGGGTTTTGGACCGGCAGTCTGCTAGGATTGCAAGGTTGGTGTGAGTAAAGTCAACCACTTTTCTCTCTCAGGGGTGTCGCTAACTCTGGGCGATGTGGTGAGTCCTTATCCATCAGTCAAATGAATCCTGGGCAGACTGTCGGGGTTCAACCTCCTGATGAGTCGGTGCGACGAAACAGTCTGGCACGGTCGTGCTTTTTGAGTGTATAGCGAATATGACAACACACACACACACACACACACACACACACACACACACACATGATCGCTGTTAATTAGTGGTGTGTATTCTTGATGTAAATCGTTATGAGACCCATTAGAGCTCAAGACCTTCGTTATGTTTTTCAGAAGGAAAAAAAAAACACTTTTCATGAATACACAGTTTTCATGGTATAAAAAAAACGAAAGAAACTTTATTTGTGGTGGGTTGTTGCCCTCCTTTATGCTGTCTCTTCTTCTTCTTCTTCTTTCTTCTTCTTACAAAAAAAGTTAACAGAACCTTTATTTCTGGTGGTTTGTTGACCTCCTTTATGCTGTCTCTTTCTTCTTCTTCTTCTTCTTCTTCTTTCTTCTTCTTTATTGTCTGTTTGGCTTAACTGGCGGCTGCAGTCAATGATGTTTTTGTCATGAAGGCTTGGGAAGCGACATTCCCAATCGATGGCAAACTGCAGATGCTGGCCGACGGAAACGGCGATTTTGCGGAAGCTCTGGGGATCCAACTTGACCTCAAGGAGTTTGGGCTGGGGTTGCGGAGCAAGCGCTTCGCCCTTGTCACAGTCGACGGTGTGGTTAAAATTCTTAATGTGGAGGAAGGTGGAGAATACACCAAATCAGGACCAGAGACGATCCTGAAAGCCATAGAGGGTGGGGCATTGGAAGCATAAGCGGGGCAACATTATCGTGGTGATGATGATGGCGATGGTGATGGTGAATGAAGATGAAGGATGGTGATGATGAAAGAGGACACGCTGACAACGTGAGGAAGAGCATGACAAAAATGGCATCATCATTGTGGTATTCTGTCGGAGGCTAGGATAACCAGGGTGCGCATATTGTTCACTTTCATAAGAATATGGGCTCCTGCAGTGGGTCAGGGAAAGGGGTGTTCACAGTGGAGGTGTAGTACGCATCAATTACATCGCAGAGCGGGAATTCAAGAGACGAAGAGAGAGTAAGGGTTGCTACACGGTACAGAAGAACAGTATCTTCTGTTAGCATTGGGGAGGAGAGGATGGCCAGTCGACGGGAGGGAGAAAAGGGGAGGGAAAGAGGTGCACACTGCCAATAACAGGGTACGGTCCTCGTCGTTCACTGTAGATAATCTACACGAGCATGATGAGCATGGCTGCTGGATCCTCAACTGTTCATTGAGAGCACAATGTGCATGCGTTGTTTTGGAAAATGCATGCGGATTGTTTTTCATAATGCAGTATTCCGGATGACTTGTTCTCGCACCTTGTCAGATGGTAGATTGCTTTTGTGCATTGTGACTGTTGTCAGATGGCTTCTTTTTTATTATTGTTTTTATCAATGGATGACCACTTTGGTTTCTTGCCGGATGGTGGATTGGTTGTGATTTCTATCTTTTTCTGTCTTTTGGGATTGGTTTTGCATGGCGGATTGAATTTTTGCATCTTGTTGCATGACAGACTTGTCTGCTGGGTTTTGACAAATCTACCCAAAATGAAATAAACTCGGTATTTGATGTAAACCACCACTAACCCCTCGCACCGGTTCCCTCCCAAGTATTCAAAGCCAAAGCAGATAGCACATGGAACCGAGTAACCATCCCATTGAGAATGATACAGAAGAATCGTGAGTCAATGTCCATGCCCACCAGGGCAACACCAACAGCATAACCCAAATGTAGCTCTCTCTTGTGAATGGCGCCAGGCGCCCTATCTACTCTACAGCCTATCCTACAACTACAGCAAAGAACAGCAACCAGACAACTTGACTACCAGCGAGTGATGATGTCAACACCAATGCAGACCTCCACCATCACCAGGTACGTGTCMTCTTCCCCACRCTCTCCCTTGTTACCCACACAGCGCCCTTCACCTCCGAAGTACCACCTTCGCCCTCACCTCCCCTGCACCCTCATGCGGCCTGGCTATGGCCGCCAGTGCCCTGCACGCAGGCAGCGTACTGCCTAGCGCTGGCCTGCTCTGTCTTACTGCAGCGCTGCTCTGCATAGTGCTGCACACTTGCATCCGCGCACCCCCTTAGGCCCCCGAAAACCTATCCTGCACAGCGGTGCTGATGCAGGGCAGCAGACCAAACCTGACCAAAACATTTGGCACTGCCCAGTCAGCCTGGCGATGGGAAGGAGGTTGACAGCCGAGGGCGGAATTAAGCACTGGGAAGAAGAGGTTATGGGACAACTGTGGTTTGTTTAAAACATACTGCGCACAGGAAACAGATGAGGAAACAAGCAAAGAGGCTATGGCAGATGTGTGTGTGGGGGGGATGGGGTGGGACAAGGGGAGGGGCTGGGGGGCAGCAAGTGGTTGGGGGAGAATGAGTGTGGAGGTTACAGCTGAGTTGCTGACCAGATCACGAGTTTGAATCTGGATGGATAGATAACATGATGGCAGGTGCTGATTACATGGTGATCTCCTGCTGTAAAAGAGAGAGAGAGAGAGAGAGAGAGAGAGAGAGAGATTAATAAAGAAAAGGGGCTATCTCTGTTGTAGAGTTAAAGCATCAGTACTTGGCCCAGCTATTCTTTTCAAGCCGGGTCATATACACGCCGTAAGGTTTGGGCATAGGGGCTACTGTCGATGAAGCACTAAAACGCTCCAATCGACTGAGGCCGAAGATGGGCCAATTATGGGTGGTCTAAATCAACTAGTAAGTTCCTGGCACTTTTCTCTGGGGCTGGAAACACGCTGGACATGGGGGGGGGGGAAATCAACCTGCATGGGCCTCTTTTTGGCTGGTGCCGCCAGCCATTTTGCTCTAGCAGCCGAGCACCAAAAGTTGCGGCAGCATGCAAGCTGCAACTTTGAAAAAATGGCTGGGAAATGTACTAGGAGTCTAAATTCTGAAGGACTCGCAAGTATAATTGTGCAGGCGAATCAAATGAAAAGACTTGTGTGCACATTGCCTATGCTCACTCCGCATATGCCACGCAGCACAGCTGCTGCATACGAGTGAATGGCTGAAGCAGGATGTGCAGTTTTGGAAAGGCAAGTACTTGCAATTATGGAAGGGCAAATGATGAAGAATATAGAACGAGAAAAGAATTGCCGATCTCAGTAATTCCGCTTTGCTGATACGCCTCTCAGTTTCCAAACTATGCATGCGGATATTTACTTCATATTTGTGTTCTGCTAGTCACGCATAAGATAGGATCCATCAAAACAGCTTCACCTGCAGCAGGTATGGCCATTTACGTTGTATCCCTACCTGGGGAGGTCAACCACTGCTGATGTCCCTAAACGCACAAGAAGTAGAAAAAGAAAAGAAAGATGTGTATCGCATCATTGTGAGTTATGTGGCGTAGTATGCTGCCTATGGGTTCTGCGAAGCTCTCGTAGCTGCCTATGGGTTCTGCGAAGCTCTCGTAGCTTTTCCTCTCTGCCTGCCATACGCTGATCAACCTTTGAGGTCCTATACTCCATGCCGATTGACCTTTGAGGTCCTATACTCCATGCTAATCAACCTTGGCCAAGGTCCTACACTCCATGCTGATCAACCTTTGAGGTCCTATACTCCATCTTGATCGACCTTTGAGATTCTATACTCCATTTATGACGATGGGTGTGGAAATGGGATTTCCGCCCCCTTGTGTAGGGGAGCAATTGCACTATGTGAGCTGACATGTGAAGCTATTCTGATCGATATGCATGGGAGAGTACATACTAGGGGGTGGAGTCCACTCGAGCTGACAAGGCTCTATTGGCTGCTGTGGGGAGGCTTTTCAGAACTGCTAGAAAGGGACAGTCGAGGAGCAACTGAAAGTCTTGGTGACAGCAGGCCAGCAATAATTCAGATAATGGAGGCTCATTACAGGAAACAAGTTAGCCTGCCGCAGCTATGTGCGCGACATACTTGTTCCTGGCCCCCATCTCCCTCTTTTTATTGGGGGGGGTCTATTATTAGAAGGGTGGGGTGGGACGATATCGGCCGGTGCTGGAGCATTCGCTCCGTGACCAGGGGGAGCTTGAGGCCATTAAAGTTATGCCGAGGGTGGAAGGCATAACTAACCATCTCGCCCGACGTAGTTGTGGCCGGGGCGGTGAAGGGGCCATACAGTTAAGGGAGTTGTCGAGGGGGAAGGCACTCTCTGTCCGTCAGAAACAGTTAGGTCGGCACTGGGGCAGTTTGTGTTGCCGTGTAACCCTAGCAGGGGGGGTATGAGATCTGATGATTTCTGGTACGAGGAGTGAAAGCTTGGGCGGCGTATCCTTCATCTGTGGTGAGGGTAGGAGACGGATTGTTAGTGGTTTTAGTTCTTGTCCTTTTCCTTTTGACTTCCTTGAATGGGAAGGTGAAAGTCGGAAGTACGGTTTGGAGGGAATTTTGGGTGGGCTCGTGCAGTAGAGGAAGGGTTGCTCAGGGTGGTAAGTCTACTAGAAGGGCGGGGTGGGGCGACATTGGCCGATGCTGGAGCAGTGGCTCTGTGACCAAGAGGAGCTTGAGGCCATTGGAGTTATGTCGAGGGCGGAAGGCATAACCACCTCGTTCAACGTAGCTGATGCCGGGGCGGTGACCCTGTAACCCGGTAGGGGGTTTGCAGCTAAGGAAGTAGTCGAGGGAGGAAGATACTTCCTGTCTGTCAGAAAACAGTTAGTTCGGCGCTGGGGCAGTTTGTATTGCCTTGTAACCCTAGCAAGGGGGTTGTGAGAACTGGCGATTTCTGGTACGAGGACTGAAAGCCTGAGCGGCGGTTTCTCGTCTGTAGCGAGGGTCTGAGTTGGATTGTTGCTGCTGTCCTGAGTGAACAGATTATATGGATTTATGTAGTGGCTATTCTCAGCCTGGGGCCTACGGTGTTGAACTTTCATCAGGCAGATTTAGATCGAGGCCGACAGCCGACGAAGAGGGAACAACAAAGCATCTTGAAAAAAACACGAGGGGTTGAGGGCTCGGCGGGGTTATCCCTTTTGGTTTTGTTGTCAGTTTCGGCTGTGGGACCGATTTGTGAAGCCGAGTGGGTGCTAGCGGGGCTCTCCCCCCCCCCTCTTGCTAGCAAGCATCGTTTTCCTCTCATTTTCATATTTATTTTACTTTTATTTTAATTTTAATTTTTGTATAGTTATTTTAAATACCGGCCCAATTTTATGGGACACAGTTTGGAGCAGAAACCTGTACAAGGGTATGTGTTGGGTATTTTAAAAATGTCGGACGTTGTCCAACAATCGTAAGAGGTTTTGACTTGGGGAGGTTGACGTGTTTGATGATGATTGTGATTGTTGTGATTGTTCGTTGGTGCGACCAGTTGTGCTCCGCTGTTCGCAGGGTTATTGGGGCGCACGACTGGCGTGGTATGAAGACTGAATATATTGTACTTAAAATGCGAACGCGTGACCATATGGCCGTGCGATTCAGAGTCATTGTGAGTGCTAAAATTACCTCATCCGAAGACCGCTACGGGATTATCCGGATTAGGAACACTGCGATGGGGTACCTTTTTCGGATGCATCAGCCTTATCGTGCCATAGTGTGGAGGTTAGCCTCTTGAAAGGCCTCCCTCTATGGATCGCAAATGGTTAGAGTTGTGTGAGAGACTCGCGTCACCACTTTGATTTTTAATTATGAGGCGCTTGCACGGCTTAGGTAGAGGCTGACGCTCGAGAGGGCCGACAACTGTACCACGGCTAGACATATCTTTGTGGACTTTGTTCCCTAATAAGGCTACCTTGGGGACCACGTCGGATTGTTCCTATGTCCGAGCCATTGTTATTTTACTAGGCTCCGTAAGGTAATCTATAAAAAAAAGAATAATAATAATAAAATTCATTTTAGCTAGGACCATCCGGATGGATAGTATCCGAGTTGCCCCGGTGATGGTACTATCATGCTTAGGCATTGAGGGGTACTCGACGCACGAAAACATGAATCTCGTGGAGTAGGTTAATGTATGATTGTCACGCTTGTGACAAAATATTGTGATAGAATATGAGAATTATCTGATGTGAGAATTTTTCACGGACATGCAACACTTCGAGTAATCATCCGCAAAGTATCTTGTCATCAGAAGAACTAAAATGTGTGAAGACAGGTGTGCCTACCTAATCTTATGTCGGCCGTAGGATGGAATGGATGACTTTGGCAACACGTCTCATCAAGTCAAAACGATGTTGTCGGACTAGTTTGTCGGCTGCATCGAGCTTATTGTCGGAGCCAACTCCCCGCTGGTGGTTCAGTAAAGTTATTTATTTATCGAGTTTATTGAGTTTGGCCTGAGGTGGTTGATTTCTATTTTTTGTATTATTAGCTTTAACGCAGATAGTCGGTTCGCACCAGTAAAGTAGACCAACCAG